GCCTCAGTTTCCTCATCTGTGAAATGAGCTGGAGAAGGTAATGGCAAAACACTCTAGTGTCTTTGCTAAGAAAACCCCAACTGGGGTCACAAAGAGTTGTGGGTGCACACACTATCTCTCCCATTCCGTCTCCTAAAGGTGATATATGTCCACATCAAACACTCTTGTGATTTTGTTGGTGTCAAAACATCCTCCACTGATAAAGTTCACAACCTTTATTTAAGTCAACAAGCCTTTATTAAGGGTTTACTATATGGTAAGAGCTGGGAATATAAAGAATTAGGGATTAAGGACTGGATCTGTGGTTTCACCTGGAATAGAAAATTCCCAATGAGGAACTTTCTCTACCAATACAAATCTGCAATTTTTAGTCTTGGAGTACCCTAGAGCATTGAGAAATCAAATGATATGAAGAAAGGCAAAAACAGTCCCTACCCTCAAAGAGCTTACATTCTAATGCAGGAGTTTTGTTGTTGTTTCAGTCATGTCTGACTCTTCTTCGACCCCCTTTGGGGTTTTCTTGGCAGAGATGCTGAAGAAGTTTGCCATTTACTTCTCCAGCTCATTTTACAGATGAGGAAACTGAGGCAAACAGGGTTAAGTGACTTGCCCAGGGTCACACAGCTAGTAAGTGTCTGAGTCCAGGTTTGAACTCAGGCAGATGACCTGATACTCTGTCCACTGTGCCACCTAGCTGCCTCAGTGATTTATAATTTTGTGGAAAAGTCCTGAGTTCTTGGTCGAGGTTAAATGACTCTCTACAAGTTCCCTGAATGACCTGTGTCCTTGCGGTAGAGATGGGGTCAAGACTGTACTGAGTGAATGACACAGGTTTATTTAAGCTAGGATCAGAGTCCAGATCAATAAATGAATCAGTCAATCAACAAGTGATTATTAGGTGCCTGCTGGGTGCTGGACATGCAAATAAAAAGAAGATATTCCTCCCTCAATCAGTAAACATTTATTAAACACCTACTATGTGCTTGGCATTGTGCTAAGCCCTAAACTTTAGCCTCCATTTTTTTCTTCATTTCACAAACACAGAGTTTGTCCTGAAACCTGAGCATAATGGGCATTCTAAGCAAAGGGGCTTAGATCTCCCTGAGCAGTAAAGTGGCTTCCCTCTGCTCCCCTGTGCCTTGCCCTCCCTTCCCCTCTCTCACAATACCCAGCATGCAAGGTTATCCTGGAAACTGAATGACACTGAGATCATGATGCCCTATGTGTATCCATGAGCTACTGTAGTCCTGAGCCATGTATGAAGGGCTTTGCTATGCCAAGATAGGGTGAGCCAGGCTTCCTTCCTCCCCTACTTCTGAAGCTTGGAGACAAGTATGGACCATCTGGCAGCCCACTTCTTCTCTTGCTCTGCATGTGCCATTAACCCACCATAGCAAGAGCTGTCCCTGGTCCTCCTCCTGTGCCTTCCACCTGAGTCAAAATAGGCATTAAGAAAAGGGAGGCTTTCTTGTTATTGGGTTATTTGGATAACTGAGGCATCAAGTCTGTCTCTTCAGATGAGAACACATTGACTTTCCCCTTCCTCCCTCAGACCTCTCTTTCCACCTATCTGTGGTCTGTAGAGACCTCCTGTTAGAATCTCTCTTGGCTGGAGAGTTCTTTAAATCTGAATCTGATTGGTTGTCTTTCTCTCCAGGCTTCTCCTTCTCTCCTTTCCCATCTCCTCCCCCCTAACCTTTCACACTGGCCTGGGTTATCTATGCTCTGTTCTGATGGATCAGATTAAATTCCAATCCCCAGCAATTGTTCAGAGCTCGGTCACCTGCTGGTACTTTTATCTGAGATTAGGGATAATGGATTTCTTTCCTCCTGTTATCTGAGAGTTGTGGGGTTTTTTTTCCCTTTACTCCTCTTCTCTGACCTTTGTCCAACCGAACTCAATGCCAGAAAATAGCTCCTTCGTTCCAGCAGCTTTCTGTTGGCCCCCACTCCAACTACCAAATCCAGTTTCATGCCTCCTTTCACTGAGGAATCATCCCATGTTTTGTTGAAAGTAAACAATGAGACAGTGAAAGAGAGAACCAATACTCTTCTCCCCCATGGAAGAGAAATGGGCTATTCGGAGTCTGTTCCTGACCTGAAGAACTTGGGGTTGGGGTGGGGATGAAAGGGAGGTTTGCTGAAGGAGCCCCTTCCATAGGCCTATCCTTTGGTTCACTGCCTGACATAAATACCTGGGTTAGCTTTACAGAGTTGTGAATCTCAAAACAAGATTATATATACCACTTTGTAAACTGTGGATTTGCCATATAAATGTCCAAGATTTTTATTGTCCTTTTCATCATTATCATAGATAAGATGAGATCAGACAGTTGAGGGGGTACCCATTGACACTAATTCACCTGGATTTTTTTTCCCCCAACAGCCCTATTACCATATTTAAATGCAAGTATGTCTATTTTAATTAACATTTTAAGTAGCTTAGAGTGCCCTCCTAGACTAGCCTGTTCCATGTGGAGTTTCTTTCCTCCCTTCTAGTTTCATGTAGCTAAGATGGTAGTTTTAGACTTTAGCAAGCTTTTAGTTTGCCATGTGTTTGGATCTATCCTTTTCTCTCCTCCCTCCCAGCTCTCTCCCCTTACTGGCTTGACAGACTCTCTCCTTTCCCTCTTGTCTTACCCCTGTCCCAAAGAAGTCCCTCCTTCAAAGACCCAGCTAAGGCCAGACTGACTGATGCCTTTGGGCCTGCCCAGGAAACCTTTCATTATCTGCTTAAATGCCATCCAAAATAACATCACCTATTGGAAAGGCAGCTGGGGACAGGTCTCGTAGTGTCTGTCGGTCTGTGCAAAAGAGGGATTTGTGTGCTTGTGTGCTCAAATTGATGTTGGTGGCAGCTTAAGGGGGGATGGGGCAGTGGAATGGCCAGGAGGGTAGAGGCAAGGTCTTTCTGGGCCTCTTCCTGTACCCCTTTCCTTTGCTTCAGCCAAATAATAGCCAAATCTGGGGGCTCTGGTCCTTGATCTCATCTAGAATGCCCTTGTGCTCTCCAAGGAGCATAGGTACCTTGGGACACCCTCACTGATTATCCCTTTAGAAACTTATGGCTTGATCGTGAAGGACTCAAGGATTCTTTCCAAGGCTCCCTATGGTGTCCATGGCCTCATCTCCTCTGGGTTGAAGTGCCCAACCTGGAGGTGCTAAATCGAGACACTTTGTCTCCTGAGGGTGAAAGCCTATAAGCAAATGCATTAAACCAGAAGGCTTGATGCTCATCAAATCCTCTAGCTGGCCTCCCCTGCCTTCCTGGGTTGGTACTCCCTGTTGAGTATTTTGCAATCCAATTGGACAGGACTGCAGTGACACTGTCTTTGGGATGTCTTCTCACTGGAAAAGGGCCCATCATTCCCATCCATTCCAGGGCAACAAAGTCAGCAGCCTATTGTAACAGAGAACAGTTGGTTTTAAAACAGTTCCTTTACCAGTGGTTCTCAGAGAGTCAAGTTGCACATAGCCTTATGATGGAATATGGTACAAAGAGACCCAGCCTCTGCCCTCTGTGGACTCAGGGTCCATGTTAGCCATTCCCAACCTTGCTTTGAAGACACCTCAAGTTGTCATCATTTATCCCCATCAAAGTTGTGAAATTCTCCCCAGCACTCAAGTTAGGGATAGGAATTAGACCTATGATTTCACTGGTATAGGGAACTCCCAGGTGACAAAATTCCTTCTACTAATGAAGGCTGACACCTTCTCTGTGTCTTGTGGTAGAGAGCTGCCTAGGGCACTGAATGTTTAAGGGACTTGCCCAGGATCCCATATTTAGTATGTGTTAGATGAGGGTCTCAAACCCAGATCTCCCTAGTTCCACGACTGGTATCTAGCATACCACTTATCTCTAAATAATAATAAAGTTCATCCTAATTCACTTTTGTGAAAAATAGAACCAAAAATGGGTTCCTTGAAAAGACTAAAAAAATTGATAAGCCTTTAGTCAACCTGATTAAAAAGAAAAGGGAAGAAAATGAAATCAACAAAATAGCCAACAAACACAGTAAAATCACAACAAAACCAGAAGCAATAAAAAAGAGTTGCATAGAACCTACTGTCCATAGTTACGCTAACAAAACCGAGAACACAACAGAAATGGATTATCTTCACAAATATAAAATATGCAAACTAACAGAAAATGAAATAGAGATTGTAAATAATCTAACTCAGAAAAAGAAATAGAATTAGCAGTTAAAAAAAAAAAAGTTGGAGGAGGGAAGAACTCCTGATCCCAATAGATTCACAGGAGAATTCTATCAAATTTTTAAAGAATAATTAATACCAATACTAGACAAATTATTCTTAAAAATTGAGAAATAAAATATTCTGCCGAACTTCTTTTATAAGACAAATATAATCTTAGTACATAAACCAGGGAAGGATAAAGCAAAGAAAGGAAACTATAGACCAATGTCATTGGTGAATATCAATTCAAATTTTTAAAATAAAATCCTAATTCATTTAAGGGTGGCACAGATTGCCAACCTTGGTTAGGAAGAGGTGGGTTTAATTCCCATCTCTGATAACTACTGGCTGTGTTACCTTGGGCAAGTCATTTAACCTCTCAATTCCCTAGGCAGCTCTCTAAGACTCTTAAGTTGCAAGTTCTTCGACAGAAGTTCCCTGTATTAATGAAATCACAGGTCTGGTCTCTCCCCTTTCCCATCCCCTCTCCCCCAAAAAAGAATATTCACTTTAATTTTTAAAATGAACAGATCATATGCACTATACCATGTTCAAGTGGGATGGAGGGGAGGGTTGCAAAATCCAGCAAATCAGAGGGTGTCACACTTCCCAAAAGGTTGAGAATCACTAATATGTTCCTCTAATAAGTTCATTTCTTGAAAAGTTCTTGTGTGTTCAGTCCTAACCCATGTCCACCTCCTCTTCTACAATATCTTTTTTTTTTTTTCTGGGGTGGGGGAGAGACGAGCAGAACCTGCCCTTCCCGGCATCTCCACTGACTCTCCCCTTCTTCTTGTGCCCAGGTTTTCCGGCGGCAGCGTATGGACCAGTGGCAGCGGCGGCAGTGGCAGCAGCAAGAGGATCAGGTAGGGAGGTGTATGGAAGAGGCGGCTACACGGCATACCCCCAGTGTGCAGGGGAAGGTAAAAGCTCTGTTGGTATTCTGTGTGGCTGCATCTGTCCAGCACTCCTCTGACCACTGGGTCCCACTTCTGGCCAGGGAGCCCAGGGAGGGTTAGGGAAGAGAAGAGCTAAGTTTACAGAGTTGGGGCCACGAAGCCTGGGGAATCTCTTAGGGCATGTGGAACCAAAACTGCAAACCAGAGAGTCATTTTTTTTCCTCTCTCTCTATCTCTTTCATTTATCTTTAAGGGGAAAAGAAAAAAAAGGAATGAAATTGTTTTTGAACTCAGGTCCCTCCTTTACTTGATAGCTGTGGTCATTTTGCCCCCTGACTTTGTATCAGGTTAACAACACTCACCCTAGCCCCACTTCTCTGACCTTACTAGAGGCTCTGTGACCAAGGTGTGAGAGAGGAAATCCAAAGACCACACCCCCCTCCCCCACCCCAAAAAACAGTACAATTCAAACCTGTATTTATCCATTCCTGATATCCAAAGCGGTGATCTTGGTCTTTCTGGCACCGAGTGGTGTGCTTACCTGGCCAGTGGGTTCGGGTACAGCTGGAGTCTCAGGATGGTGTCCTTGGCTGAAGTGAAGCTGTTTTCCCTCAAGCTCACCAGCCCTTCTTCCCATGCCCACTGACCTGAGGCTGAGGCCAGGCCAAACATCTCTTTGGGTTTGCAAGTCCCCCAACCCTTTTAATACCTGGGCTTCTCCATTTCCCCTCACTGCCTCGCCTAGCCCTGTGGCCAGCATAGTAAGCTCTGTCTGGCCTTAAGGAAAGACACCCCAAGCTATCATTAGCTGTTTACCCAAGGTCCTAAGCTTTCCAAAGCCATACTAGGAGGTTCAGGGCCAGCTCAAGTTAAGTGCAAAAATTTTACTAGTAAAAGTTCAGTCTGACTGGCTGGGGCTGGAGGGAGCCTGGGATGCCAACTGGAGAGGTTCCCTCTTGGCTCCTTGAAATTTCCTATCTTGTCCTAAGCATGGGCTCAGCTCCCCTCTGGACATCCAAAGAGAGGCTACATTTTAGTGTCCTCACTGGTGCCTAGAGGGCCTGGGCCCTCTCTTGAAACCACTTCAGTGGACGTGGCGTTTTCTCTCTCTCTCTCTCTCTCTATCTCTATCTCTCTTTCTCTCCCTCTCTTCTCTGGTTCTCCCCAGCCCTGGTCAGGGAGACGTCCTCTACCACCTCCAGCTAATGTGGGGGCAAGACTTTGCAGTGTCTCCTGGTGCCCTGTGGACAGGAGCTTTGACGCATCTGGCTGGGAGCTTGCTCTGATAAAATATGGCTCTTAAGGGATGGACTAGGGAGAAGTGAAGAAAAACTCGAAAGGAAAATAAATGCCCCAAACCCCAAACCCCTCAGTGATGAGAAGATGGCACAGTGGGGGCCCTATGTAACATATCAATAAAAGACATTTTTTTAAACTCCGTTCCATGCAAACTGGCACTTCCTGTAGAGCTACAAAGGACCCTCTTCCCCCACATCATCGACCCCCGGTTTTCTTTTTGTGGCCTATGGAATGTAGGGGTTGCTGAGGGGCAATTTGCCAGAGATCTGGGAAATAGGGCAGAGGGGGTGGCTTTCCTTAAACCCCAATATAACTAACCCAGGCAAGGAGCTGCTCCGAAGCTGGATGTTGGGTCTGGGATCATCCACCCTGGTAACAGGCCAGAGGGTGGGGGAGGAACCTTCTTCAGCTTTGGCCTGGGGGATCCTTCCAGGGGCTCACCCTCAGCTCTGGCCAGTTGCCCCTAAGTGTCCAGAGGCTCCGGGGAGATGATTGTTGCCTTGATTCTGTGTTATATTGTTTTTTATTTTCTTTTTTTGTTTTGTTTTGTTTTTGTTTTAACCCTGAGTGCTTTTTTTGATACCTTGACAAATGAGCTTTGGTCAAACCTGTGCCTGAAAAAAAAAAAAAAACCCTCAAGATTTTGAGTGTTGTCAGTTGTTTGTTTATTCTGTTCCATTCAGTTCTTTCTTTGTTTGTTTTGTTTTTTAACTTGCAATATGAAGCTAAACCTTAACCCCAAATAAACCTCTTCCCTCCCTCCCCACCCTCACCCCTTTGACTTTGTGGCAAGTTTAAAGGGCAGCACGGAGTTCTTTGCAAGTTGGAGAATGATGAATTCCCATTGCCTTCACCCCAACCTTGATCCCCAGCCCCACCCCACCCCCAAAGACCCCAGAGGGAGTCACCCTATCCAGTCCCTGACCCCAGAGGACAGACCCATTTTCTGTGAAACATGTTTCGTTTTTTTTCCCCTTCTTCTTCCCAAACAGTGGTGTTTTCTTTGCAGCCATTTTCATCTAGAGAGAAGTCTCCAACAGGGTCATCTTGGGTCAGTCATTCTCATTTTTGCACTGTTAGTGAGTTGTATTCAGGAGTATTGACCTCAGACTCCCTTAGGGATTTGGGGACGGCAGCCCTAAGTTCTGAGGTAGCCCCTCCACAATGCCCCCTGCTGGTGTTTGTTTTGGCTCTGTGTCCAAAGTATCACCTGGATGCTTTGGCTTGAGGGACCTCCCACCCTTTCACGGTGAAAACCTCTCCATTTTCCCTGTGCTTGCTAAAATGTGCCTGGTTTGGGGTAACCAGCCCTGGTAGAAGTCAAAGTCAGCATAGCTATGAGGTCAGGAAACGTGGTCCGGGGATGAAGAACTGTGCCTTTCTTTCCTTTAGCTGAGAGTTCGTTGCATGGTCCCCTTCCTCCTACCCCCAACCCCCACACTGTAGTGAGGACAGTCCCCTGTCCTCCCATTCCTTCTGATTTCACAGCTGTCTTCAAACCAAAATAGAAAACCCATTCACAAGGGCAGGCGGATCTCCCTTGCCCCGATGAGGTACGTATCAGCAGTGGATACCCTAGTTTCAAACTTCGATTCAATTCAGCAGATACCTAGTGTGCACCTTCTATGTGCTTAATACTGTCCTGGATGCAAAAGAACTAGAAAACGTGGTCCCTGCCCTCGGGGAGCTCATAGAGCTGGACTGGTGACCAACCAACGTTTTGGACCCCTCTATTTCCTTCCTTGATTTCTTCCCCTCTTCCACCTCCCCTAGCCCCCTGTTTGTGGCGTTTTTCTTCAAAAAATACTGATGGGATCTTCCCAAGAGCCGGTGACCTCTGGCCACAGGGGTAGGCAAGGTGGAGAGGAGCTGCCTTCTGACTTGGACTGGCTGCCCAGCGAGTGACTTGCATCTTCCAAGGCCCTAGTCCTGGGGTGGGGAATCTAGAGGGTCATTTGGCTCTGCCCCAGACCCCAGCTGACCTCTCTAAAAGACAGTGCAGTCACCTGGATGGTTCATGAACCAGCTGGGGACCTGAGCTGGGCAGAGCTCTGGTCCTCACCAGCCTCCCCCTCTAACTCCTAGACAACTTCACTCTCAGTATCACCTTTGTTTTGACTTCACTGGCCGTTCGAAACAACGTCATCTTTTCTTGTGATCAGCGTAGAGTTTATTTGTTTATTTTCAGCTTATTCATTCAGTCTCAACAGTACCAACCCTGACCCCACTCCTATCCCCCAATCCAATTTGGTTCCCCTTTACCCACCCACAAAGAGACCATCTACTCATAGGATTTCAGGGGAGAGGGAAGCATTTTTTTTAGAAGTTCCCCACCCCCCTAAAGCTGACATCACGGGTAGGCTGATAATGCCAACCTTCAAACTTCCAAAGCCTATGCCGCCCCCCGTTCCCCATTCCCACATACCCCTGCAGCACCCACCCTATCCCCCTCTGTCCCAGAGCAGGACACCTTACTGTACTTTATACTTGCCAGCCATAACCCAATCTCGTAACATGAGTTACTGACAGTGGTGGTGAGTGTGAGCAGTTATGTCTTGTTGTCTTTTCTCTTGCTTGGTTGGGGCTGCTGTGAGAGAGTGTCTCTGAGGCACCCTTTCCCGGCCTCTGTTACACTAGGATCTGCACACCTCCTCTCAAACACTCTTCTGAGCACGCTCAGCGGGAAGGTTTGTCCTCACCTATTAATCCTCTCTCAGTGTCCAGCTTCCTGTTAGTAGCAGCTGGTTTGCATGTTTTTGCTTGTTCAGATGAAACAGTTCAAGAAACAAACTCATATCCAACTCTTGAGAAATGTCTTTTTTTGTACACTTTATTTTTATTTTTTTTAAATTATTACTTAAAACTCCAAAACACCTGTCGTCCAGTACAACATTTCACACCTCCCCTGCCTGTTCTTAGATTGATTGTATGTATCTGTGGGACTGAACTAAATGCATGCACTGTAGTCCATGTACCGGTAGCTGTAGCTGTAGTTATAGAACATGCATTGTTGAGTTGATATTACAGGTCTCCATCAGCTCGGCCTAGTACAGCCATCTAAAGCATAGCCATGGGTTGACAGAAAGAGAAAGGTTCTCCATGTTTTCAATGTTGCCAAGGCTTGGATCCATGTTCTCTCCATCAGCCACCACCACCTCCCTTCACACTCCCTGCTCCCCAGTTTAAAACTGGGCCACCACCCTCAGCTCTCTAGGCCTTCCCATCATGACCTCTGTTAAAACCCGTCTGGCTTAAAAAAAAAAAGTGGGGGGAACAGAAGTAGATTTGGAAATGAATCTTAAACTTTACTCTATGTTCTTTTTCTTCTTTGTATTATTAATTAACCAAATGGATTTTCTTTTCTTTTAAAAAAAAAATTGATCTGTGGATATGGTTTCTTGAAGCCCCTTTCCTCCTTCCCCCTTCCCTTTCAGTAGTCTGTGTCCTGTGGTAACAAAGCAAGGTGAGCCCCCATTGATGCTTCAGCAACTGAGTGTAAGGAACCACCTTTCAACTATCCCCCAGCAGGAAAGGGTTTTAGATCTCTGATGTTCACAGTATTTATGTATCAGGCCCTGGGAGATAATCAGCCTCTACTCCTATGAATGTAGCCGGAGGAAATAAAAGAGTTAAGATGTTGATATCAAGAAGGACAAGCTGAGGAAAGTTCCTCATGCCATAAGTGGTTATATGGTTTCCTAGAGGATGTGGGTCTTAGGCTGTTC